TTTGATTGAATAAACTGTACAAAGGCTGTCTTATATGCGATTTAGCAAAATCCGCTTGAGCTTAAATCGCTCACTGCTTGAGCTTAAATCGAGAGATAGAGAGCTTGAGAGATCGAGATGCATACCGTAAATCGAGTGATGGAGAGGTACAAGACGGTAGGCGAGAGCTTGAGAGAGAGATCGAGAGGTAGAAGACGGTCGGCGAGAGCTTGAGAGAGAGAGATCGAGAGGTAGAAGACACAGCGATGGAGAGGTTACGGTCAGAGAGCAATCGAGAGCTTGAATGCGATTCAATCTAGAGCTTGAGAGAAGCGGCGATGGAGAGGTTAGAGAGACCAGATAGGCGATTCCCAAAATAAGAGGTTTTCAGCGTTTATTTTACCTCTAAATAATTCAGACGTATTCAGAGCTTTTAAGCTCTTAATTGGAAAAAACAAACAAACACCCTTAATACCCTAAGGTCTGACCGATTCAGACTTCAGAGGGTATTAAGAGGTTTTTTTTAAAAACAAACAGCTCCTAAAGTTTAAGGGCTAAATTTGCTAACCCTGAAATCTTGTTTTTAAACAAAAACACCTTATTTCTCTTCAGACATAACGAAGTTATAAACAATACATTAAAATTTATTATAATTCTTTTTGTATTATTATTAAATTGTTTCAATGATAACATCATATCAATTAGATAATTACCATATTTGAATTTGAAAAACTAAAAAGAAATAAAAACCTTTCAATCTTGGCGTACAAGAAAAAAAATATATTTTAGTACATAATTTATTATAAAATAATAAATGCCACATTTTTTTAAATTTTATATACATAAACGCATGCAGTATTCACCATGAATACGATATAAATACCATGGTGTCTGGAGGTATCAGGTTTAAATCCAAATAGAAATAAAGAATTTCTTATGGCCTTAACTCCGGTCTACCCGCTAAGCATGTGGTCGTCCGTCTTTCCTAATCATTCAAGTTATTCCTTTTGTGGTGTTTGAATCATTGTTGAGCCTTTGTTTTGTGTGCTTACTTCCATTTTCTAGATAAGTAGATTTAGTAGTTATAACTCAAACCTCGCTTTTCAACAGTCTAGTTAGTGGTTGTAGTAACCTTGTGATACTTAATCTCATAGTTCCTTGGATCGATACCCGYACTTAGTACATATTACTTGATTGACATCCTACACTTGAGGTAGATTTGGAGGGTTGCATAAACCATCTATCATTGGGCGTTTGAGATTTACTTAATATGGTTATTCGAGTTGGAAGCAATGAGATTTGTAAAGATGCCCTTCTTATAAATTACGTTTTAAAGGATCGATCATGGGCTAAAGGAGAATATTCATTTTAACTGTTTTATGCCTTATATGATTAAACTACCTTAACTAACCAGCCGTCAAGCCTAACACTTTTTTTCTTATCGACATGTATATCAAGTCTTAGAGGGATCTAGATTGCGTATGAAGCGTTATAGAGGTTCCAGTAGGATGGCTTAGAGGCGTCATCCGGTTTTGAAGATAGCAGATTTGATGATATTAGTAACACCCCAACTTATTTTGATTATGTTTAGGATTTAGATAGTCTAATTAGGTATCGGATATGTATCTTGTTTTCCTTTTGGATAAACCTTATGTAGGTTTTGTATTAAAGTTACCTTGTAATGAAGGAGTTATAAATTTTCTGTTATTTTTTAAATTTTAGGGATGTTACAGAGTCATAAATAAAAATACAATCAAAACGATTTAGCAGTTTTAAACATTTATGGACAGATGTGTATGATTACCGATGATTGTAAGATAATCATAAATTTCACATTTTCTTTTCCAATGACGAATCGCATTAACTATTCGTTCTCAATGTATAATGAATGTTACATTGTACGAGTAGTAAATTTATAAAATGTATTATTGTTCTTGATTGGTGATTTTGTTATATAAATTTCATGCATGGGAGAAAAATGGTTGTTGGTGACAACGAGGGTGATGGTGGTTGTGATTCTTGGCAATCATCTTCCACAACCAAGACAATGGTTGTCGGAAAGTTAAAAAAACCCAAGAGAGATGCACATTTTCGGATCACGTTTCAATGATAAAGAGGAAGAATGAAATGACCAATGAAAGTTTGCTCTACATCTTAGGAAACAAGTCAATCAATTGAGATTATTGCACAAACATAAAATACACTAAATATCTAATCTTTTGCATTTGCCACCAAAATAACATCAATCTAAACCTACTAACATGTGTACCAACCATACCAATTAAAATGAAACCAATTATAATTGATTGGTAGTACTTTACCGAATATGCAAACTTGGTTGATACACGGTACTCGAAGTTGTGTACCATGGTAGTAACTTATTTATTAATTTTTTGATTTTTATGTACTAAATGTAACAACAAAATTCTAAAAGAACGACTATTTTAAATTTTTCGATGAAACATCAATTAAAGTATAAATTCCTTTCTATAAATCAATGCTGGATTACCTTAATTAACAGATCTAGATTCAACACCAACAAAGTGGAAAACCAAACCTTACATTGAGTCTAGGCCAGGGTCAGGTGTTAATAAAAACCCAAATACAATTGATATTCCAAAATAAGAAAGACGTCCCCGAATAGCTAAATCGTTCTCGTGCATCTAAATAGAATTCAACTCTTTATGGTGTCGCTAGTACCATTCTCCGACCAGGATCTGATGCACATGCCAACAAATAAAAAGGATTAGACTTGACGCCTAGTGAGTTCAAAAAGTTTTCATCAAAATTATAAAATGGTAAACACTGAAAAATGAATCGTTCAAATAATATTTTTTCAAATGAAATGTGTACATCTTAAAAGCAACATCTCTCCATAAACCATCATTTTCACGATGAAAACCCCAAATTAGAACTCTCATTCAAATAAGTACTCAAAATCCAACACTCACTCAAAACATGAATATAACTCAATGTTCAAATACTAAAATTTGGATACAACTCTATTACCAAAAACACCAAGACACGATAAGACTCAATACCCAAAATAAAAAATTATGGATAACACTCCATATTCAAAACGTCACCGAAAGCATAGATAAAACTCAATACCCAAAACAACACCTTTTGGTGACGGGAGACCCGTTCCCATTGGATATGGCAGAACACAAAGTAAGCCACGAAACAACGTAGTCAATATTCACCTCGAGCCATCAAACGACCTTAGTGCTTACTTTCGAAGGTTTCAAGATGAGAACTTCAAAACTCACTGCTTGACAAAATCAAAGGTTTCGAGTTAAGAACATCAAAACTTCTCACATGATTCAAACTAGTGATTTCAAGAAGAGAACATCAAAACTTCTCTCTTGTCATGATCAAAAGAGCCCAAGTTGASAACATCAGAACTCCTCAATTGACTGAACCCTAAGGGGGTGTTTGGTTTGTAGATTTTGAAGGAATCTAATAGAATTGGAATGTGGAATTCATTGACCAAATTCCATTCTATCGTTTGGTTCATTCTTTTTCAAGAAAAGAATCTTCAAAATCCTACAAATTCCAAAAATAAAGGAATTTAACATTTCTTAGCAACTACATGAAAGAAATTCTCTATTTTTATAATACCAAATATGCCCTTAACCTAACTATAAGTCCCTACTATGATCAATCTTCAATAAATCCATGGCAATCTTCAAGATCTTCAATAAGAACAATAGAAGAAGATGAGAGAGTTTGAGAAAAAAAGTCAATCTTCAAAGTTTTGGTCAAATCTCTATTACGTAATCTGAATATTACAAATGAGCTCTACAAACAATTACACTAAGATTAGACTATATATAGGGTCAAACTTGAAACATTAAAAGTCAAAGTCAAAGTCACTAGAAAAGTCAAACACGATGACTATTTTACAACAATTATAAACAAAATTTATCTTTTCAAGATGAATACAATTTAACACTGATTTTCAGTCCTAACATTCTCCCCCTTTTTATTCAAGCTTGAAAGAATTTGCTCGCTTTGAATCTCGTTTGAACTTTGTCTCTTTAGGCATTTTATGACTTCTTCAAAACAATTTTAACTTGAAATCTTCAGATGATCGTTAGTTGAGAAAATCTTCTAACATTCTCCCCCTCGAATATAGAACAGTGATGATCTTCTCTTTTGACAATGTAAAATAGTATCAGCAACGATCTTAAGATATAATCTTCAAGATGTGATCTTCAAAGAATTTCTTCAGATAACGGATTACAGACATTTTTCACAAAAAAGAATTTATTTAGACAAAATCTCACAAACTTTCTCTTTGATGAGAAATTTCTGTCAGTAAACTTTTGAAACGATGATCTTCACATTCAAAAACTCTCAGACGTTTTAGCACAGGAATAACCTTCGGTAATAATCTCTAGTCGCACTCCTTTTGAGTCTTTTGCCATCATTGATGTTACTCCCCCTTAATCTTGATAACAAACTCCCCTTATATTGTTCGGAATTGAACATTTCATTCATTATTACATACCCCCCTATGATGAAATGAGAATCATTACATCATACATCTGAATGAATGAAATCTTTAAATGAAAGCCTTCAATTCATAAAAAATGTAAG